ATAATATGTGTTAAATAACACAAACATATGCACACAGAAATGTATAATAATGTGAGAATACNTGGTTTTTTTTTTTCTTAAACAAGGTCATTTTAACATAGAGTAAATAGGAAAAGGGGAACATGTGACCAAAAATAAACAAATTTTACTATAATTTTAAGTTATTTTTATGTTAATTTGCATAATAATATATGTTAAATAATACACAAACATATGCACACAAAAATGTAAAGTTCATTTTTTTGTAACGAAGGTCCCGGCTTTTCTGAAATTCTTGTTTTTTGCAGTAAGGTCGTGTAGTTTCATTTGTCAGTTTTTTCTTTCCTTAAACAAATGTTGGTGGCAGGAGATTGCATCCAAAACGGCTTGTTTGCTTTTTTTACTCTTTTCAAAATCTGGATCATTCACTACAATTTGATCAACAATTTTGGTTATCGTTACCAAACTTTTACTAAGGAAATCTCTAGAGAAATTCTTTGGATTCTTCATTTTCAGAATCTCTATTTTCCAGTTCTACATCAATTCCTTGTTTTGTCAGTTCTTGAAGGTCGTTGTTGGTAAGGCTCACCAGAAACCTGCAGTAACTCTTCAATATCCTGCTTGTCTACATCTAGTCCTGCTGTATCAATTAGGTTAACAATTTGGTCAACCTAACGATACAGCTCTTCTCAACCCACCAGTGGCCAAGCAGTCTTTGTACCCTGAACACTGGGAGTTTGGTTGTGGGTTCACGCCTTGCTCGGACAGGCTGGCCACATGGAGTTTTCCGGGTTTTCTCCATGTCTGTAATGCCTAAATAGGGGCAAGTTTCCTTTAAAAAGACCCCCCCAGGCAGATCGCCCAAGTGTTGCATTGCCATAACTTAACAAACAACATCATAAGCTTTTCTTGTTGAGAATTCTTGGGTACCTTCAGCCATAACTTCTTCCACATAACTTTTGCACGTTTTGTTCATACCTTTATCAGTTAATTCTTGCCATGTGAAATTTATATTGCCTATAGCAGGGATGGCAAACCTTTTTGTGTTCGCATGCCATATTGTAAGCATACTTAGCTTTAGATGTTTATGAGTGCCATAGTTTCAGACTTCAAATAACGATATTTAAAGAAATTAAACAAATACGTTTTAATTAGAATAAATGTAAAAAAGCTGATTGAAAAAACAATGAATGGGTGATAAACTGAAAAGGTGATTAAAAAAGACAGAAATCATATGATACATTACGTGCCAGATGATTTCTCCTTATGTGCCACAGGTTTGCCATCCCTGGCCTATAGCATCCATAATATTATATTTTTTCTAAAATTGCACAAAACAAACATAGATTTAAGGCTACAACAAATTGCCACCTTTTGCTGATTGATTCGTGTTCATAATAATTGTATTATATTCAAATCAATGAAATACTGCGATAATTTGAATTGGTGTAAAATTTTGTGCTTTTTTTTATTTTTATTATTTTTTTTTTTAAGGCTTCAAGCAGACCATGTTATATCGAATCAGCATTAATCAAGGCAGCATTAAGCAGGGTCTTACTGTACTTCTGTTTTCTATATTGACTCAAAAAGATACCAACTAAATCATTTTAAGTTCTAGAAATATCCAATACTTAAGTCTTTGATCTTTGTAGAGTAGCAAAATTCTCAAATGTAGCCATCAGGCTGTTAATTTTATATCTTATCATTTACTAAGTATTATCAAAGTATTATCCGTTTTGCAAAAATTTATGATAGCCTAAATGTGAAGGAATGTGGATGCTATTACAAGAGATCTGTGGCTGCACCTGTGTGAAACATAGTAAAGTTGTTTTCTGAGAAGATCTAATGTAGTATAAGTAGGTAATGTAGTGCAATGGTCCCAATTAGTGGTATGCGTACCCCTGGGGGTTTGCAAAATTGCATGAAGAGGTACACGCAGCAATCTAAAATAGGTTGATTTAAAATTTAAATCATGAGATGAAGCAATCAAAAAAATAATGGGTGGACCATCAAAAATTCAGCAATTTACAACATGATGTGGAATGCACAAATTCATTTATTTATAACTAAAAATATTCTCGAAATTTCATCAAAAAAATGCATTTGTGACAATACCTAAATGAAATTCTTGTGCAAGAAACAAAAATTGTACAATTAACACAATTTGTGGTAATTGTACAATTATCATTATCATGTCAGCAAAGTGGCAATAAAATATTTTCTATCATTTTGCACAACATACCTCTGCGAGAGCGGATTTTTGGCCATGACAAACATGAAAACTAAACATCGTCACCGACTTCAACTCGAAGATGACTTGAGACTGAAGCTGACCAAAAAGCAACCAGATTTTACAAAGTTGTGCAAAGAAAATCGTGCACATTTGTCGCATTAAAATTAAATAACCTTATGTTATTTTCATTATTATTAGAATTGTATTTTAAAGGTAATAAATGTAAAAAAAAATTATTCTATTTATCACTTGCTGTCTACCCACAGCTTTGCCCGCATTATATCAAATTTTCTCGTGGGAGTAAGATATTTTCTCACAGTAAAATGTAGCCTATGTCCATCTCCAACATGTAAGTTATCTGTGCCAAATTTTATTAAAACCTGTTCAGCAGTTTAGACGTGAAAAGGTAACAGACAGACAGCCAGACAGAATTACCTTTGAATTTATAATATTAGTACGGATTAATATGAATTTCTGCTGTAAGGGGTATGCGAGTTTGAGCTCTTTCTTGAAGTGGTACGCAGGAAAAACTAATTGGGAACCACTGATGTAGTGTATAGACTGCATTTTTGGATAAACAAAAACACATGCAATGTTTTTATGAAAGACTTGCTTGAACTTCCATTTTGTGTTTCCGGTTAGTCGTAATTAAATGATACAGAAGTAATTGAAAATAATTTTAATTTGTAGGATATTGAAACAAATTTAAGGTATCAAGAAAAAATATATAAAGATTTAGAATTTCCAGATCCATTAGACGAATAAGTCAGAAATAACATTTTTAACAGTTAAAAATTTGAGCATACATTGATTTGGAAACATTTGGATTTATCTTATGCAAACTAAGTATACCTATGTACCCAAAAGAAACTTTTAAAGCATATAAAAGTTTAGAAAGGTTTAAATTAGTCAATAATGCATCTAATATTTTCAAACTGTGTGATCTTTGAAAATATCTGGCAAGTTTTTTTAACTGTATTTCTTTGTGGTCATTTAATTGTATTTTTTAGTACAATATAAACAATTAAATGGTACAATAGTACAATTAAGTCAGTCCTGAAATATCCTTACAATTGTAGATTCACTGATTCTAAATCAGAAACTTGGATCATTATTAACAAATCCATCCCTGTTTTAGTTCATCAAGGTCAGCGTAAACTGATCTTTCCTCAGTTGAAATTTACCTGAAATTATTCCAGTTGTATTAGTAAACTCTAACGGTTTGATAAACTCTTATTTAGTAATTTACTGTAAAATAATAGTTGTAATATTCTGTTTGAATATTAAACATTTGTTTTTTCTTAGATTCGCTATTGTTTGGATGTAATTAGCATTTTTATTTATTTTATATTTTCTTCTAATATGATACATACTATGACATCTCACCTGCATTATTTTGCAAGTGGTATGCTGGTTCCTCAGTGCTACTTACTTCTGGAATGATTAGATGGTTCAGCTATGAAGCATCTTTTGTTTTTTAACATTTTTGAAAGAATTATCTGCATTTCTGGAAATATCTGAATTATCTGGATTGTTTATAGCAATTGTAACATTTTATTTTTTATATTTTCTTGAGATTTGTGAGGATGCAATGATGGTATCCACTCTGGACTGTTGGGATCATTGGATGGTTGACCTATGAAATTAACACAATATACTACTCATCATACTGAGTAGTATATTTTGTATTTATGTTTAGGATGTAAATTTGCACTCATTATCTCAAAATGTCATAAACAATATTTCTAGAAATATTCACACTTGCAAAAACGTTGATTAGCAACAACAGGAAGTTAATTGGAAGAAGTTGGAAGTGTTAGTAAGTTCCTTAGCTGCACCATCTATTGACATGTTTATTGCTGAATACAGTCTATATGATAAATCTAGTAGAGATTTCTTGTATACATATAGAATAACTTTTTGTAGAGCATTATGCATATTAGAGTATATACAGTATAAGGGAATTTTAAGTATTCAATAATATTTATAAACATAAAATTCCAAAAATATTTAATAGAATTATATAAAAAGTATATATGAATAAATACTAGGATGAAACAAAATTCTATTTAATTTTTTCAGAAATCAAACAAACATGTTTATTTCTGAATTAAAATTTCTTTTGTTATTTTGAAAAGTGTTTGTTCCTTCCTAACTATTTATATGATGGAGTTGAATATTTATAAAGAAATGTTAAGAAATTTTTTTATTTTTTTCTTATGATCTCTTTATAAGCCAAATGATTACTGATAATGATCAGACTATCATTAGTCTAATTATTATTGGCCATCATTTGGCTTAGTATTAAAACATCAGGCTTTGGGTGTTGTTATATATGATCTAATATTAGATTTCTAAATAGAAAGTTATATAGAAGTTGTCTGAACTGTGTAATGGAACAATCTTGTACTTACATAAAATTTATCTTTTCTCAGTTATTTCCTGTATATAAAATTTCTTGTACACATGGTAGTGATCAGCAGCATCAGCAGACTATCAAAAATGGGGGTTACAAGGTCTAAAAAATGGTCATTGTACACATTATGCAAGGAGCTTCAAACTCTGATTCAGTGTTGGATCAGTGCTCCCACAAGGTGGTGCTAGTGACACTTGGGGCTAACTTTGAAAACAAGAAATGTGGTTTTGGTCAATATATGATAAACAAATGTCCCATACAACTATTTTTATGTAGTTAACAGACAAGTGGTCATTTTAATGACATTAAATTACTTTTAGCATGTAATATTTGATGTATTTTAAAATCAATGATTCCTTAATTTGTTATCAGAATGCCCCAGTTCTAATGGAAAAGCTAATAATAATGATATACATATGATTAATTTGGATTTTGTGGAAGATGTTGAAGTAAAAAAGGAAATATCGAGTACTCCTCCAGCTCTACAATCATTAAATCTTGATAAGGTAATAAGTTATTTGTTATTATATAGCATAATTATACAACTAATCTACTGCAATACATACATAAGTTATTTAAATGTATAATTCTTCATTGCATACACTTTTTTATAAAAAAAATTTTTTTTAATTCCTATATAATATAGTCTAATAAAATATTAAGAAGATAACAAGTTTCAAAAACGTTTTTTAATACTACATATTCTAAATATAAAAAGTTTGAAAAATACTTTATAATTCTAACATATATCAAATAAAAGCAAGAATAACAGATTTTTATAGAAGCTAATTGAAAAATTTGAGAGCACATGGAAATGGAGACAATGGCAGTTAATTAGCAGTTAATTTTTAAAAGCTTTTATTAAAAAGATTTTAAATTTTAATTCTTAAAATCTGTTTATTAATATTATTTCTTCTGTTTCATTTTTAATGTGTTCTTACAACACACTAACACCAAGGTGGCCACTCACATTGCCATGTAGCAAATTAAGTTTTCCATGCTTTTTATATATACAGTGGAACCTCGGTATACAACCTTAATCCGTTCCTGATGTTTGGACTTATACCGAATAGGAAGTATACCAAACCAACCTTTCCCATAAGAAGTAATGTAAAAGTGATTAATCCGTTCTCATGTAAAAAAAGTGGCTGGCTTGAAACACCTCGCTTTCCTGGCTAGTTCCTGCTTGATTTTTCAAGAGATCAGCATGTATCTTTTTAGCTTTCTCGCAAATAATTGCTTCTGATACGATATCTCCAGCAAACTTTTTCAGTTATCCAAAGCAAAAGCATTTTCTCAACATGATCTAATGTCTTCGATCTCTGTTTAGAAATTGATTTAACCCCTTTCGCAACGTTAGCAGATTTAATAATGTTTTTATTTTTCACNTTTTTTTTTTTTTTTTTTTTTTTTTTTTTTTTTTTTTTTTTTTTTTTTTTTTTTTTTTTTTTTTTTTTTTTTTTTTTTTTTTTTTTTTTTTTTTTTTTTTTTTTTTTTTTTTTTTTTTTTTTTTTTTTTTTTTTTTTTTTTTTTTTTTTTTTTTTTTTTTTTTTTTTTTTTTTTTTTTTTTTTTTTTTTTTTTTTTTTTTTTTTTTTTTTTTTTTTTTTTTTTTTTTTTTTTTTTTTTTTTTTTTTTTTTTTTTTTTTTTTTTTTTTTTTTTTTTTTTTTTTTTTTTTTTTTTTTTTTTTTTTTTTTTTTTTTTTTTTTTTTTTTTTTTTTTTTTTTTTTTTTTTTTTTTTTTTTTTTTTTTTTTTTTTTTTTTTTTTTTTTTTTTTTTTTTTTTTTTTTTTTTTTTTTTTTTTTTTTTTTTTTTTTTTTTTTTTTTTTTTTTTTTTTTTTTTTTTTTTTTTTTTTTTTTTTTTTTTTTTTTTTTTTTTTTTTTTTTTTTTTTTTTTTTTTTTTTTTTTTTTTTTTTTTTTTTTTTTTTTTTTTTTTTTTTTTTTTTTTTTTTTTTTTTTTTTTTTTTTTTTTTTTTTTTTTTTTTTTTTTTTTTTTTTTTTTTTTTTTTTTTTTTTTTTTTTTTTTTTTTTTTTTTTTTTTTTTTTTTTTTTTTTTTTTTTTTTTTTTTTTTTTTTTTTTTTTTTTTTTTTTTTTTTTTTTTTTTTTTTTTTTTTTTTTTTTTTTCTTCTTGCAGTAGTTTTTGGCAATATCTGCAGAATTCTTTTGTGGATATAGACGTCGTTCACCAATGCCACGTGATCGCCCTTGACGGATATATCCAACTGCAGAATGGTTAAAGAATATTTTTCTTATCTAATATATTAACAGAACCACATACTAGTCAGTCATGTTATCTGTTATCATAACAGCGTAATGCTTGGTTCTCACTATTACAAGTCAAAATGAATTATTATTTGATATAAATTAAAAATTATGTATTTTTTTTTTTTTTTTCAAAATGAATTAAATTATTTTTACTTTCTCGGCTGTTATATATAACAGGGAAAGTATGGTAATCAGTCAAAAATGACCCCCTCAGATTTTTACATTTTTGGACTCAGGATCTTGAAATGCAAAAAAGTTTGGGGTTTTTTCTGTTTGTGTGTGTGGGTGGAATGATTTTGTTCTCTCTTTCTTTGGAGCTTAATAACTCCTGTGCTTTTTGTTGAAAATTTCTGAATTTTTGCAGGGAGGTCTGTTTATTAGATGCTGTTAAATTTTGATGATTAAAGGTTCAGAGCATGGGGAGATAATGGGGGTCATGTGTATCTCAGGTAGGGTCGGACATAATGATGATTTTATTCATTATTAGGACTTACAATTTTTTATAAAACCATCCTAATCCTCAAAATTAAGCTTTTTGCCATTTTATAATAGTTAAGAATATAAAAAGTATTTAAATAAAATATAAAAACAGATGGTGTTACCAAATGCTGCAGGGAAAGTTCAGCAAATCATTGCTGGATTTTTTGAATAAAAAGAGACTGTGAAATTTTTAAACAAGAAATGGAAAATTTGCATAGAGTGGCTGAAAATTTTTATAAATTTGAATCTTATTTGATAAATTTGAAAGGACTTTTTAAAATTTGTTTTGTTTGATTCATTCAAAGACTACTTTTTTTAACATCAGTTTTTTCTAAATATCTCTCATTTGTAAATAATTTCTCTATGTAGGCCTATATCATACACTTTTTTTTTGTATTATTTTAAAAGTAATATATTTTGAAATTACTAATAATCTTTTTCACACTTTCTCAAATTGTGTATTTTTGTTTTTAATTTACATTTGTTAACAAAAGTATATTATGGTTTTTTAAGAAACAATACAGGAGGATACTTTATAAGTGATTCAAGAGTCTTAATTATTTGGTATTCTGTAAAATTTAAGAGGATGAAATGCTTCAAAAATGGACTCATGATCAATTTGAAAAAATCTCAATAATGAAGACTAAATTCAGTATTTAAGCTGCTGCAGCTGTTCTATTTATGTTTTTTGTCAAGCAAAATTACATATACTTTGGTCTTGCATTCAGTTATGCATGACTTTTTAAATTCTAAACATACTAAATACCATAGGTACACATAATGGTTTTTAGTATATGAACAAGTACTTAAAAACATCTTTAGAATACAATACAAAACATTTAGAATTCTGTAATAAACGTACAAAACTTTATATCTCAAAAAGTATCTTGTAATGATAATCAATACTGTTTGAGATTTAGATTCATTATGAAGCAAAGAGCAGGCAGCAGTGTGGTATAAAAACAATCATTATAGTTGTAGCCAAAAAAAAAAAATTCAAAATTAATTCAAGATTTTCTATCAGTTACTACTTTCTTGTTTTGGAACATAGGATGCAGTTGTAGCTTATTTTAAAAGTAATAGTGCACTATTTATTATTCCACTTCTGTATTTATTTTAAAATTTAAACTGTGTATCATTTAAAAAAAGATACAGCAAACATTTGGAATCTGAGTTTTGGTTTAAGATAATATTCTTCCCATTACATCTGTAAGTTTTTTACTGAAATAATTGTGAAAATTCAAATGAATACAGAGAGTACTGGCAGGGCATAGTAAATGTAAGTATTGAAAAAAAGCATTACTTGATTGAGAATAAAAAATAAGTAAGAAACAGGGATGTTGGATAAAATGTCAAAATAGTGGTTTAAGAAATAGCATAAGTCTATTTCAAAAAATACAAGATAAATCCAAATCAGTTCATTATTTTACAGTAAAAAGCTTTATTATGGTTTCCATTCATAAAATTTAAAAAATTATTTTGAATGAGACCCTGAATGTTTAATATATAATTTACAGTATTCTGATATTTTGTTTCAAATTTCAAATATTCAGTTAATCATCCTGGTCTGAAGAAACAAATTGAAAACTCTCTTTAGATCTTATATAAGAGGAGAGTCCATTAAAAGTGCAGGCCAAAATTACACTAAAATTTATAATTAAAGAAAATATTTAATACATTCCACAAAAACTACATGCTTTTGTTTATTTATTGACATAATTTCCATAAACATTGAGACATTTATCTCAGTGTGAACTAGTTTGAACATCCTTTCACGGTACTGTTTGCTTGAAGTAGTCCAGAACAGTTTCTTCCAGTTCCCCGTGATCTACAAAGCATTTCCCCATCAAAAATTTCTTTACAGGCGGAATAAATGAAAATCCAAGGGGGCTAAATCTGGACTATACTCCATACATCAAGTCAAACCAAACTGTGGTTGGTAGAGCAAAGTTAAGAGGTCCTGCAACATCTTCCGTATAGTCCAAATTTAGCTTCCCATCGGATTTTCATTTATTCAAACCTTTAAAGAAATTTCTGGTAGGGAAATGCTTTGCAGATCAGGTAGAATTGGAAGGCACCATTCTGGACTACTTCAAGCAACAGTACTGTGAAGAGATGTTCAAACTAGTGTCACGCTGGTATAAATGTCTTAATGTTTATGGCAATTAGGTGGAGAAATAAACAAAAGTATGTAGTTTTTGTGGAATGTGTTTAACATTTACAATTGAAAAAAATATTTATGTAATTTTGGCCTGTACCTTTTAATATCAGACTCCCCTCATATATATAATTTATAAATTAGTTTACAAATGGATGATTCAACATTCCTGGAAACTTTCAGTAAATGTTTCCTTTCACTATTCTACAGTTTTAATTGTTATCACCAGTTAGTAAAAGAAACATTCTTTGGTTTAAAGCAGGGGTGTCCAACCTTTTTGTTTCTCTGGGCCGCATTGGAAGAAGTCAAGGAGTTTGGGCCACCAGCAGTAGCTTAACGTAGGGGGCGGCAGAGGCGGCCCGCCCTGGGCGGCACTTTTTAGGGAGCAGCAAAATTTCAGAATAAATAATATCATCTTGTAAGAATTTGAACCATTTTATTTCATATTTTCGTCCACCTACGACTCGGACTGATTGAAATGAGCATGAAAATAGTGTTACCATCCATCTGGATAGTCCGCGAATCGACTCGCGGTCCAGGAATATCGTGCGCAACCTGTTGACCTTTTTTTATTTTTGTTTTTGTTTTTTTTTTCTTTGATTGTGCGATTCATTTGTAATCATATACACCTCCAATATCCAATAGAGCTAGGTCACTTGCGTTACTCCTATCCAAGTCTCCCTAGTCGCTAACTGTAACTGATTTAGAACCAGCATGCACTGCACATTATTCTTTGCATTGCAAAATGATATACGCATGCGTCAGGAACTTCTGTTCGAACAAACCTCACCCGCCGTCCGGGTTGGCGATTTTAAAAAGGTGGCAACACTAGCATGGAATTTTTCATTATTTATTTTGTGACGAAACTGAATTTTAGTCTTTAAAATTGAGATACCTAAATAAGAGGGAGGTGAAATTTTCCTCCGCCCCGGGCGGCTGACGCCCACGCTACGCCACTGGCCACAAGTACTGTACAGTCGACCCCCCTATAAACGCGCATTCCTATAACGACAATTCCTATAACGTAGCGAAAAAATTGTAGCAACATTCGTATAAAATACCTCCTATAACGTCATTTCGCGACAAGCTTGATAGAATCTGGACCAATTGTGGATGAGCAGCCGAACTACTTTCCTCCGACCCTGCGCCACGCTACAGAGCGGCTAAATTGAGTTTGCTATCGTCTGTATAGTATTATATATAAATTATATAAAAATTAGGTACTGTACATATAATTATATATTAATTATATATAAATTAGGTACTGTATATATAATTATATATTAACTTAATTTATTGTAACTTTATTATAATTATATATATGCTTTCTGCCGCCTGGCAACACGCTACGGAGATTTTAGGCTAGTAAGTTGAGTTTATTATCGTCTGTACAGTATGTAAATTAGGTACCGTAAGTCTAATACAGCACTAATTTTATACATTTCTTGTGAAAGAAACACTTCTTATTCAACGGCCATAAAAATTATTTATATTAATGATGTCTCCAAAGGTCAAGTTATTTTTCTGCGAAAAATTCGTTATTAGAAATCGCGGCCGCCGTTTCATGTGCTGTTCCGCGACGAAAACCAGCTTTAAGCAACGGCGTAGTCGAACGGTACACACTCGGTAAGTAATCCTATAATTTTTTGTTTATAGCATAGTTTATACGGATTATTCCCAAAAAATTATACGTGTTTTGGAAATGTTGAGTGGAATTAGTCTAGAATCGGTTAATTTTATAGAAGAAAACCTTTCGAACAGCCTTAGTCCGTAAAGTTCCCACCTATCGGGCTGCGATTGGCTCATGTATTTAATCATTCCTACAACGTAAAATTCGATTAGCGTGGAACATATCTAAGCGTTATAGGGGGGTCTACTGTAATAAGTATTAAAACTTTATCAAGAAAAAGGATATTTTAAAAATTACTTCTACAGACACTTTCAATTTTTACTTAGAAATAGATAAATTCATTTATTATAGAGGAGACAAAAATTTATTTGAAAAACACAAATATTTGTTTTATTTGAGTTTCTATTTAATAATAAGCAACGAAATACCATTTTAAAGTGCATTTTTATTCAACTAATATAAATAATATGTAGCCCAAAAGTAGCCAAATCGCCAAATGATATTTTTTACGTCAAACAAAAAAAAAGTAGCCACATTTGGCGCAATGTAGCCAAATCTTGCAACGTTGGAAAAAATACTAAATAAAGCTGGAGTTGTGAATCAAAGGATTATAAACCCAAGTGCAAGAAAAGAAGAAAAAGGACAAAAGATAAAATAGTGAGAAAGGTTGGAAAATTAAGGGTCAACAGAAGATCTATTTAACCTTTCTCACTATTACATCTTTTGTTTTTCCCATCTTTCCCTCCTTTTCCCAAATTTGGGTCTATAATCCTTTGAGTCACAACTCCAGCTTTATTTAGTAATCCTTCCTCATTCACACATTTCCAAGCATTTGAAAATATTTCCTTTCCACTCAAGAATAAAATACGAATAAAGGTTTACGGCTTTGTGAAACTTCTTTTTTGAGTTTATGCCGTTGAAATAGATAAATAATAAAAAAATTAAAACATTTTGTCGGTTTTGTTTACACGTTTATTGGGCCACATTGGAACTTGCCTTGGGCCGCGGGTTGGGCACCCCTGGTTTAAAGTAAGCTTAAATTTATTCTTTGCAATGACATGCAAATCAAGATAAACAATGTAGTATCTCTATCTGTTTGAAAATGAAAGCAATTGATGAGTGATTCATAGACAATATAAAATTGTTATTCTATGGTGATTTTAATTACTTTTATTACTAATTTTCATCATGAAGTCTTTGAATATTTTCTATTAATTGGTTCCTTCTGTATGTATAATTACATGATTGATTAGGTAATGAAAGGTTTAAAAACATAAGTGACTTGAATCTTTCACATGAGAGATCAGTCAACATTCATTTAAAGATATATACAAAATCATATGCATACTGTAGTCACTTAAATATTGATTCTTATTGTTTTTCATTAATGACTTCAATACTTTAACATAATTTAACAATTTGTACATAGTCCCAAGTCTTTTCTCTTGTATATTCTGAAGCAGTAATCTGTAATTGACAAGACTACTACTATAACTTGATCAGGAATGATGTAATGATGATTATATTTAATTGCTGGGGATTTTGAACATAATGCAATTTAGAATTAGTTATAATACTGTAATTTGTCCATAAATATTTTTCAAGATCAAGGAACATATGAGATTGTTCTGTTCAGCTGTTAATACTGAAACAGGATGGCTGTTAATTTCTATAAAGGAAATTGCTAAGGAAACAACTACGTCAACTATGTCAGTTACAGTAAGTGGAAATATTATGTAATGAGATGTTGTCAGGAAAAGAAATATTTGAAAATGAAATATTTATAATATATATACATAAACAAATGAGTTGCTATAAAAAAAAGCCTTTTAAAATTAGATTGAGCTAAAAAGTTTAATGATGAAATGACTAATTGCTTAATAGCTTAAATGAGAAGTGCAAGACGTATTTATAAAGTAAAGATGCAAAGTTCAGATAATATTTCTAAAGTATTTTATTTTTAGATTGACTTATAATATCTTAAGAATATGTTTATTTTTCAACATAGTCACCATGTACCTCAATGCATTTGGTGAGCCTGGAAACAAGATTCTTGATAACGATGTCATATAAACCTATCTGTTTTTGTAATAACATCATTAGTGTCTTGAATCTTGTCATACTTATCAAACTTCTTTCCAGAGAGATATGTTCCAACTTCAGAAACAAGTGATAATTGCTTGTTATGAGATCTAGGATTTAATGGATGTTCCAAAACATCTCACTTGAATTTCTGTAATAACTCGTGTGATTTGAGCAGTGTTCAGATGGACGTTATCATGCAGTAGGACACCATTTTGTCATATTTTGCATATTCATAGTGTCTTCACCATAAATGGAAACAAGTTCTTACTTCAGTGGCAGTTTCTCCTTTTGTGCAAAGGAATCGAATTACTGAGCACTTGGCAGAATTAGAAATTGACATGGCCATTTTAAACACAACTGCAAAAATAATGATAATGCAATTAAAATCAAATGATTTCTGTCACAAGACTTAGACCTGAACAGATGTAGCACTGCAGAAAGTTGTGAAAAAATTTTTTGTGGATTTCTGTTCACCTTGTATCTTTACTTTCTGAATGTGCCTTGTATTTTCATTTAAGGAAAATGAAGGATTATTTCCCTTAGCCTTTTAATTAAAAAAAATCTCTTTTGGTATATTTTTCTACTACATGTGAAAAATGAGGAGTTCAATAGTGGTGTAACTTCTTCAGATATCAAGCTTCAGTTAACAATGCTAAAATTTTTATGTATTTAGATATCTCTGGACAAAATGTAAACTTACTGCAATTAAATATTGATGAAAACAAAACAAATATCACACTGAAATTTGAAGTAGTGTGTGCCACTTTTACAATACAGCATCTCAACTTTAAAAAATTGGAGTTAGAGCACTGTTGTGCTTGACTTTTAATTGCAAATGTATTTATTCTATTGATGGTTTAAATGTCTTCTTAGTTATTGAAAATAAAACTTTTATATCAAATTGTATTACATAATAAAAATTTTTTTGTTATTGTTATTTGTAGTTAAACAGCAGAGCGAAACAAAATATAAAAGAAAGACAGTGTTTAGTGACAGCTATATCATCTGGAGTCAGCCAAGAAGGAATGAAATTATTTGTTGCCATTACCAAGACGTAAGTGTTTTAGGTAGTTTTTAACAAAATTTAATTATTTTGTTAGAACTTAAAATTTTTCATTACTATTATAATTAAATATTAAGTATCAGTGAAGTTTCCTGGCAAGGCAAGAACATAGTTGTAATGAATCAAGTTACCATCACTCCACCTTATCGTCCTGAGAATTGTAAAGGGAAAACTGAAGGTGAAGCCTTAAACCATGTTAGAAAGATAGTAAGTAAAATTTGTAAACACTGAAATCTTAAGCATTTACTTCTACTTTTATATATAAAATTCTACTTAATAACCATTAATAAGATGTTTTTGAAAGTAAGATATCTTCATCTAACTAAATGTGTATTTTTATGGAAGATAACATTAAAATGTTTTACTTTTTTCCACAAAGTACATAGATATGAAGAAATTATTTTCTTAAAATAATTTATATTAAACTTGATTTTGAAGTACAAATATTAGGATATTTAGGATTAAAATGATGTATTTTAATCCTGTTTAGTTTGAAGTATTACTAATCATTATTCGTAGTAGTGATTAGTGCTACATTTTCATTTAGTATTAAATATGTAATTCTAAATGGCAATCATCATTAAAAATACTGATAATCTTTGAAGTACCAATTAATCTTTTATGTAATAGATTAAGATGAAAGTTTAACATATACTTCTTTAATAGTTTCTCTTTCACATTAAGATATCAATTATTAATCACTTATCATAACAAATAGGAACACTTTGGAATTCATTTGATTTTCATAATAGTTTACTTTCAGGAAATAAATATTTTCTTAATTTACCACATTGTCATATTATTTCATTTTTGAATATCTTTATTTGTAATGAATTAATTCCTTCTCCAGATAACCTTTGTACCATTTTTATTAGAATTTATTTATCATCAGTTTAGAATCATAAATTATTTTTTATGTTGCCTACTGCTTTACTATTTTTGTAATGTGTTATAAAGAAAGTTGGACACAAGCATGGTCTATATATATTCTATTGGTCATACAACTCTTCAAAAAAGTTACCAATGACAATCATTCTTGTTAGGTGGTGTTACAGTCAACAATTGCTCCACATCACTATGGCTCTCATACAGTAGTATGGCCTTATACAGTAGCAAATACAAACAAATTTTTGAGTCTTCAAAGAATATTTTACTAATTAATATAAACACAAATAGTGCGGTTGAGATTACACGATGATCCCAATTTATTCTATAACCATTTACTATTGAGACCTTGTGGATAATTATTGCTTTTAGAAAGAAGTTTTATTCATTAACATACTTTTTACAATATGCATTTTGTCCATGATCTGTATATTCATTAATTCAAGAATTAAAAATAAAAATCAATTGACCAGAAGATGCAATAAAGACTTACAAAATAATAAAAGTTATCAACAAAACATGTAACAACCCATAGAAAAAAATCCAGAGCTAATCAAAATGGAAACTGGTTTACACAGGTTCTAATTACATACCTTTAAATATGCCTGTTCAGATCTAATGTTAAGATTACAAATACAGTGAAACTGCACTTAACAAGCAAAACAAATTGTAAAAAAAATGACTCACTTAATGAGCGATGTTCTTCATAACGAGTGACAAGGAGAGGGAAAGTCCCAGACTGTGTGAATGCCCCATCAGTCTGTGTTTAGCACTCGTTCCATCTTAGTGTTGCTTGTGATCAAACATTTTTCCAAACTTGTGTATACACACATTACCTATAAACATCAATAACCATTGCCCATTATATAATAAACATGCCAAACGATATGCCAAATTCTTGGGCTATGTAAAGGCTATAATTAAATATTAGAAATTAATTAATTTGACTAGAGTTAGCCAGTTATGTTACCATCTCGTATTAAATTTTTAAAATGTCTAAATTAAAAATTATTTATTTATAATTATTAAATTTAATATCAGATGGCAGCATAACTGCCTATCTTTAGTCAAATTAATTAATTTCTAATATTTAATTATAGCCTTTACATAGCCCAAGAATTTGGCATATCATTTGGCATGTTTATCAGACGTGTTAGAGAGGTTGCAGCCGATGTTTTCATTGCGAAAACAGACGTTCAGCACCGCCATCCTGCCAGCCTAGAAGTTTGACAATGGCATTTGGAACATCGAACATGATTCCAATGACCTGCTAGGTGATCATCTACACCCGATATCTCTAGGCTGTTTCCTGACAATGATGCCATGTTTTATCAGAAACACCATTTTACCAAACAAATATACTTGGAAATGCTTGGAAGAACACAACAATAAATTCTACATGCTGTCTTGGCTTCCAAACTCATCAGACTGCAACTGCATTGAACATATTTGGAATATGCTGGAACATGTGATGAGGTTCTCACCCACTCCTTCACAAAATATGCACCAACTGACAAAATTATTCAAGTAGGCATGTTAGTCCCGTTAATAGGTATGTCCAGTTAATAAAAGAGGATGCTTGGCATCTGGTAGTCTTATGCTCTGGTGTTTGGAAGCTGTGATCACTCAGAAAGGTGGACCAACCTGTTATTATGCAGGTGTTCCTAATGTGATCATTTAGTATATATCTTTATTATTGAAAAATCCTATCACACTTTTATCAGATGTATCGAATGTTATGATTTTAACAATAGATTCTTAGATTCTGAATTTTAATCAGTTTATATAATATATATAAGTATTTATGAATAATTAAATCTAATTCTGTTTGGAAGTATTATCTAGAAGATGAAGAAAAATAGTAAATTAATTTTACATAAATTTTTCTTTAGATTCCTAATTAATATTATGCACACAAAACAATCAGTAACATAATAGATCCAGGGTGGCCAAGCTCCTTGATAGTCCGAGCCATTTTTCAAAATTTGAAATTTTTTGCAAGCCGCAATTAAATACGTATTAAAAAGGTATGCAAAAAATTCCAGATTACAAATTATATCCATAGCAAGAGTGATACAAATTGGTTCCTCCAGAGCACAATGTCAACTGTCCATTGCAATGACAGTTTACAAATTCAAAATCGGTCTGGAGACGGACGATTACGCCACTGTTTATGTTTGTTCGCGCAGTTTTCGATGAGTCATATCATTTTTAACTTGGACAGAAATGAAATTGGTTACAACGTTGCACTTAGTCTTTCATATTTGTTGTTAGTAATTTAAAAGAGATTTTGAAACACATACGGAACGATAATAATTTTTAAAAATATAATAACACAAAAATGAAAAGGGAACTCGGGTACATTTATCGAGAGCCACAAATAATCCTTCAAAGAGCCGCACGTGGCTCGCGAGCCGCAGGTTGGCCACCCCTGTAATAGATATAATTATGATTAAAAACCAAATTTGATGGATTGATTGATTGAGCAAATTTTTATCAAAATATCTATGAAAGTTTTCTAATAAATATTTCTATCTCATATTTTACTTTATTGAATAGGATAAATTGTATTGATATACATGTTAGTGTGACAATGTAATTTGTGGTTGTAATAAGGCAGGAATTAAAAGCTTTTCTGGAGATTTTGTTTAAAAGACAATATTTATTACAAATAATTACATTAATAATTTTCAAAATGTTTATAATTGTTTAGAATAATGAAAGTTGTACTTCTGACATTTTTGTGACTCTGTGTAAAAAATGCATATTTAAAGTTTTTATTTTTTATTTTTTAGGTTGAAAAACATCTGAAAGATCAGCAAATGCAACAACAGTCCAGATCACAAATTGCCCAATCATAAATTGCATGACTCTAGGTTTACTTTTATTTTCAAAAGAGAATAACTTCCACAGTTGTCTGTTCAGTCTTGAGACAAGTGTGATGCTCTATATATAATTGTTCTCATGTTTACAGATGTCTAATATATATTAGTGCTTGGAAATTAAGATTTCTGTTTTAAATTTTAAAGAGATTTATTTATTTTATACTAATTTAAATATAAGATTTTTTATTTGAACAGAATTTAGCATTTTTGCTCATTTTTTGAAATTTTTTGTATTTATATTCATAATACGAGAACATGTAATATATAAAGCACACATATGTCAAATTTTATCTAATTTCTTTCTCATGGACATTTTTGTATACATCTGACTGTGGAAGAGATTTCTCTGTAAATGGTGATGCCATCAAACAAGTGGAAAGTGAGATTATACAGTTTCATGCATGAAATGTATACATATCTCGGCAGACTAGTCCTGTTTCGTTGAAGCTTAACCACCTGATTCTAACACCAAAATGTGGGAAGTATGGCTATTTTGGTCTATTCATTAACAATAGACATCAAAGGTCCTGAATATGGTAAATTCCAAACAAAAAAAAGAACTGTACCATAGTTAGACCTGTGTAATAAAGCATTCAGTCTATCCTAAATACTAATTGAGATTTATATCAAAGATATAAACACTTGAATTTTTAAGGTTTTAAAATTTTATAAAGTTTATTTGAAAATTTTAATACTATATAATCTGTAATAGTTTCCAATTCACTTTACAGATATTGCAGAAAGAATAGTTGTAATTATTAGTTAGATTTGGTCAGCATGTAGAAAGTAGGAACAAACAGATATATTATCAAACTAACATGATCCTATATATTAATACAGTCAACTCATATTAAAATATAAAGCAGTCCAATTATTATCTTGCAACTTTACTTATCTAAATATTTATTATTTAACTGTTTTTCAGTTATTGAAATCTAGTGTTTATCCAAAAAATATAAAAATTTCAAATTTCACATACTTTTTAAAGGTAAAAATATTTTGACATGATTTCCACTATTGCTTATCAAGTATCTTGGGTACATATCAAAATCATTCTGTTCTTTGTTAAATTGAAATCAATTTGCTTAATTACATTGATTTATCATCCAAATTATTTAGAAACTTTGGTAGGATAAAATGTAAGAATACTAATTGAATCTCACTTATGATAAATTTGTGGAAGCTTCAAGTAATGTAAATTAATTGCATATGTACAGAATGTAAGGAAATCTTTTTGGATAATATTTTATAGAATTTTGTTACAATTTTATTTAAGAAATAGTAAATTCAATTTAAATTTTGAATTACATGGCAAATGATTACAGGATTTTATTGATAATTTGACACAAAGTTTCTTAATGCAGTAAATAATATGAAGCTCAGATCATATCACTCATTTTTTTCATTCAATAATTTTTTAGTTGTTTTTAATCTAAGATAAATTATTTATGTAAGAAAATATATAAACTTTTTCAAAAAAGCAATTTATAAAGTAGAATATCTCAAATATTGACAGGATTATTTGGTATTCTGGAGAAATTGTTTATTTAGGTGCTTTTTAACAAATTTTCAAAGATAAAACAACTCATTTTGTGTAATTGTTCACATTTTTAAATATAAACTATCTTTTTAAAATGTGAATTGAAACTATTGCTTAGTATACTATAATAAGTAATACATCTTTAAACTGATAGCAATTATACAGTATACAATATTTGCTTACCGTAATAATTTTCTTCTATTTGACTTAAAATAATTGACCTAAATAAGTACACACAAATTTTTCCTGTATATTCTTTATTGCTGCTGCATGCTGATCATTCCAATTCATTTTATTTGAAACTTCTTTTAATAATTGAATGTGTAAATTTATTCTTTGAATATAAAAAAAACCTTGAGTAGACTATAAGAAACTTAGGCACACCTTTTTAAATTTTATATTTTCATTTATTTAAAAACTTCAATGAATTTGGTTATCAAACAGAATATAAACTTTATAAAATTCTATATCAATTTTAAAAATTTCTTCTTTTTAAATGTGCTTATATAAAATGTTACAATATTCATTTTTATAATATGCAGTTAATTTTTAAAATTTAAATTTTAATATTAAAAAGAAAATTTATACCTTGTACATAAACCAGAGAAAAATTAGACTATTTCATTTTTCTAATTTTGTCATCTACATATAAAATCAAATAATGCAAAACACTGCTCTTTCCACTAGAAAGAAGAGCAGGTTTTGCATTATTTAATTATATGTTTTTAAAATAAGGAGCAATGGTGCTTTTAAGTAAAAATCAAAACAAATTTAGACTGTTTTTTCCCTCTCACATGATAATCATTTTAAGGCAGTGTGTGACTGTGGTCTTTTTGAAGGATTCCTCATGAAATTCACTTTTGCTATTTCTGCCTGCCCTCAGATATGTTTTTTGTTAAAGATATTCTTTGGAATTGCCTTTGATGCTTTTGCCACTATTATGAAAGGAAAATGGATTTTGTGCACTCAACTTTGATGCAAGGAACATGATAGATTTCACATTCATCATATAGCTCAGATTTGGCAATGCACAAGATCCTTTTATTGCCCAAAAACTTGCTCAACAAGTTAGTAATGATGTGTATTGTCATGGAAATTACATGTAATTGAACAGTGCACAGAACTGACAGGTAGTACTATCTGGTGATTGTTATGTGGTTAGCACACTATTCCTTGAAGATGATTATTACTTTTCCAGCTGATAATAGTTTTGTCCATTTGTAGTATATGCTGGTGACTTCACATTGACCTGTGCTCTCAGGATCAAAATGATGTAGCCAGGTTTAATGTATCAGCAAAAACTCATGCTTCAGAAACTGGGGAATCCATGTTCATGCAAAATTATGTGGACTCTCCTGTAGGAAACTGTTAGCATATCAAAAGGTTCATCAGTGGTAGTGAGATAGTGTTCTCTTTTGATGATACCAAAAGTGTTAGTTCTTCACCCAACACTCACAGGAGTCTAGAGCTGTTTGCTTTGAGGTTGATTCCTGGTCTTCACATAATGTCTTGAATATGCAGTGCTGTGGACTGAAAAAGTTTTTTCACATTACCTGTTTCAACATTTCATAAGTTTAGCCGATTTTCCCAAGCAGAAACAAAATTTTAACGCTACTGGTCATCACGATCAAAAGTGTACTGTACACAAGTTCAGAATTTTAATACTACACTCAATACGAAAAAGCAGGCTTAGTGTATCAGTGCAGACACCCTCGTATTTGAAATAAAAATAGGTGATTTCAGGTATCACATATTTAAAAATATCCAATGCATATTTAAAATTTGTATACACACTCACACTGTGCTCCATTTGACAGCCATATCTTAGAAGAATAAACAGCAATTTTTAAGTTAAAAACCAATAAGTGTATACTTGTGTTCAAAAAAATTACAATTCTACATAGAGATTATGAATCCAAGTAGAGCACTTCTTTTCTTAGTTGTGTTTAATGGCATAATTAGGAGATATTTGGAAGAAATTTTCAAACGGAAAGTTGACGAAGTTGTGGTTATTTTCTTTAATTGTGCACACAACTGTTAAGTACAGTACCTAATCGATTGTTTTTATGGATGAAATTATACTTTCTGGTCACGGATTCAGAAATCCCAGTTGACATTTCCAGGATTTGTCTATTTCCATGTTGGGCAATGAAAGNCAATAAGTGTATACTTGTGTTCAAAAAAATTACAATTCTACATAGAGATTATGAATCCAAGTAGAGCACTTCTTTTCTTAGTTGTGTTTAATGGCATAATTAGGAGATATTTGGAAGAAATTTTCAAACGGAAAGTTGACGAAGTTGTGGTTATTTTCTTGAATTGTGCACACAACTGTTAAGTACAGTACCTAATCGATCGTTTTTATGGATGAAATTATACTTTCTGGTCACGGATTCAGAAATCCCAGTTGACATTTCCAGGATTTGTCTATTTCCATGTTGGGCAATGAAAGTGGAACGAATGTAGTGTGCATCGTTAAGCGATGTTGAGCAGTAGTTTATCATGTTATTAGTTTATCTTTACATTAGTGCGTATTTGTAATGAATTAGATTATGAATCCAATACCTACAAGTTTAGGTAATAAACAATTTCGAAGTCAAAGCAGACACATTATTTGCAAGCAAATTATCCAAATATGTGTAGATTCTAAGTAAATTGTTAATACGGTAACTAGTTAAGTTCTTATTTCATTTGCAAATTTATTTATTGATGTAAACTACTGTAATTTCTGAAGTAACTACACTATTTTCATAATGGACTTGCCTTAGCCCATGCGTAGTAACGTCTAGTGCGTTCTCATCCGTCGTAGGACAGTATATAGCAGTGTTTCTCAACCTGTAACGAATCGTCGCTCCCTTCAATAAAACCGTTACGTAGTATCGCCCCCTTCACTTCCAAATTCCGATTCCAAGGGCCAAGGCTAATGCCAAATTCGTACTGCATTGAATAGACTAGTGACTAGTATAATGTTGTTTGTTTAATTATTGTACGATATAACGAATAAAATATCTAATTATTCTTAATATAATGTTTTACTATATCGCCCAGAAAATTGTTTTTCGCTCCCAAAATATAAATTGTTACTAATCGCCCCCTATGAGAAACACTGGTATATAGCATGAGTCGCAAACTGGCGGCCCGTTAAGACTTCATATCTGGCCTCCGGCTTTGATTTCTTTTCTAAAAATTAATATTTCTAACATCTTACGGGGATTAGACGTTTGAATTTTTTTCTGTTTTAACTGTTCACGTTTTGTTTAAAGGCCTGGCAAAAGAGCCTTTTTAGTTTTTTTTTTTAATTATAGTATGTTTTGGTTTATCGAATAATAATGATTACGCACCGCGCCTGATATACTTGTATCGGTACTTGACTAGCCCTTTGCTGCGTTTGAGTTTGTATAGGCTCTCTCGAGATGAATTGTCCTAGCAATTTGTAAATCCGTCGTAGCCAAAAGAACTGCTTAGATTATAGAAATTAAATATGATGTGCTATACAGAAAGCATAAGCATTAATCGATTTTTTTAAATAACAAAAGTAGCATGTAACAGAAGTGACTTCTGCTATGGCACTTTTTTTTTAACTGCCCTGTGGGCACTAAGGTTTATTTTTGCAAGCCCATTATGGATTCGGCCAGGCCCAGAATGGGGCGGCCGAGTGGTGAGGGACGGGGGTCGACATATCCGGACGGACCACCCCCGAAAAATTCTGGGGGACCCGGGATCGAGTCTCCCAGAGCGGTATGCTGCCACCTTGACCGCTCGGCCATCCGGCCGTCTTTGCTATGGCACTGTCCCTAGCATGAATTAAACTTGTTACGAAAGCTTTGTTACTAAGATGTATTTAATATAAAATTAGTTTGTTGATAAGTATCGCCTGTCTTCCGTTAATTAAAATGAAAGTTCACTATTTTGAATAGTTGATAATACTGTATGTAAGTAGTTTTTCTTTAAACTCCTCCCTGTGGACACTAAACCTCTTTCAGCAAGCTTATTATGGGTTCGGTCAGACCATAATTCGCGTTTTTCATGAACTATAGAGGGCGCTGCATTTTTACAAAATGGCTACTTTATCTGGGTTGCTTGTAACTAGTAATGTGAAATTAATCATATATTACTGTCCGATATAATGATATATGCTGCCTGTAGCTGTTTATCGAGAAATTTTATAGAAAGAGAACAATTATTGTTAGCGGGACACGTCATTATGTGGTATCGAAACAAATGAGTGAGATCGTTCTATACATATTTGTGCCCTTTGTGTTAAAAACATCAGCTTTGACATTGTCCCATCAGTGCCGGGTTTACAAGTAAAAAGTCTCGACTTTCAAGGGACCTCAAACATTTGTACAAAAAAGAAAATTGAAGTCAGATTTTGTAATAAGCATTTTTTTACAAACCAACAAAACATACTTCACTGTTTATTTTGTGTAGTATTTCATTAATTTTTTTCTAAGAATTAACATAAGATCTTTTTTAAAAAATTTATAAAACCAATTTAAAAAAAAAAAGTTTTTTAATGGAATGGGTATAAAAATTTAATTAAACTTAGTTATAAAACAGAAGACTAGTAAAACCTCATGTGTTTTTCTTCCAATATCCATATTAAATCAAAGTCATAGTCTGGTTTAATTCTTTTCTTTTTATGATTGACTTCTAAAATCGTGAAGGGTTGGTAAGGGGCCTTACAGAATTCAGCTTAGGGCTTCGAAATGCTTAAATCCGACCCTATGTCCTACACAAAATTACCGGCATTTTAAATTTTAACAAAATGTTTTAAAATTGACAGCATAACTTGTTTGTGAAAGCTGGACAATCGGGAAACTGCCAATTCTTAACAGTCTAATCCACTCTTTCAGAATTCAGAGCTCATAAATGTAACCGATCAATTTCCGAATAATCATCTGCTTTTCCCGTTTTTCGTGTGGGAATAGACGAAAACTTATGTCAGGCTCTCGTAAGGCTTTGAAATTGCAATTTGGAACCAACAGTAAGCGTTGCTTTTTCTATTGCTTTTCATCTTTACTGCTGATAATACACAAGAATGAATCAAACGACCCAGATAGAATAGTTTTGTTTTTAAACACCAGAGGGCGAGCATCCGGTGAAAAATGCGAATAGG